ACACGGTTACATCGGAGATATGGCGATTCAAGTGGAGTAACTAGTTGATGATTGTGATGTGGTTCAAAATTCGTAACGACGTAAACATCACGTTTCTTCTCATAACCCACCCAAAACCGGGCAGAACAATTCTCTCTTGTAATTGCCTTCGGTGATCGAATCATATCTGATCGATCATTAAACTTCTCATTTCTCAAACCTTCTTTAGAACAACACCACCGTCTCCTACATACTTTCCCTTCCGAATTTCGAACCAATTTGTCTTTTCTCACGCTAAATCCAATGCCCTTTGCATAACTCATATAATATTGTTCCGCTAATTCTATCGTTTTAAACTTTTTCCCCATAACATCTTCTTTCCTCGGTGCAATCATGTCAACACCATTATCATCACTACTTTGACGAACCATATGCTCGACCGACATATGCCCACTCTCTGTTGCCTGTGCCCTGTGACTTGACCTTTCACAACCACCCAGATACCCTGAATCACTACAACCACCCTTTGATGTCTCTACACCCCTGTCCATCTTACCACACCCCTCTATGCCTGAGAAACATAATTTCAAACTGAAATTACATTATACTCTATGTGTTAACATACTTTCTCTTAACAAAACACAAATGAATAATCTCATGCAATTGCATATAGTCAGGTCAATAATTGCACCACGTATAACTATTTCGCAACAAAGCCTCCTCCTTGCACTTCCTTTTGCCACCAACTCAAATGTCGTCGTTAACAGCCAAGGATCTTCAAAATCTTTACAGCCACGTTGTTATTACAAATCCATTCCCCTACGAAATTGAAATTCTTTATCAGACAATGCCAACAGAAGAAACTGAATTAATTCAATAACTCCAATTTGGTGACCATTTCATCATGGAGGTTGGACCCACCATCAATTCCGTATCTGCATATGAGTTTTGGGCAACCAGAGAGAAGAGTTGAGAACCTCAATTCAATGAGCATTACCTTCTTGCAGATGCGTTTTGCCCAAGCACAAATAAGAGTTGGATGCACTTAGGATGCATTTGGGCAACTGAGAGAGATGACTTCCTGGTGAAGCAGATCCAAGAGTTCTTCAGCAAGCAGAGATAGTGGGCAAGCAGAGAAAAGAGTTCTTGGAGGAGCTAGGGATTGGATTTGGGCAAGCAAAGAGAAGAGTTCCTGGAGGCGCTAAGGATTGGATGAACTCTTAGAATTTTCGATTTTGCCAACTACAGGGGAGAGCACGCATCTTCTTCTCCAAACCTGCACGTCTTCTTCATCTTGCCTCTCTCTGCGCGTCTTCTTCATACACCAAACCTCCCTTTCTCTTTCCTCACATGTCACTCACATGTTGAATAACTAGGGCTCAACAGGTTATTAAGTCATTCAATCTCAGCCATGCTTTTTTTAACATGGAATCTCAGCCGTTGGATCATCGGCTGTACCGGTACAGCCGATGCACCACAGAATTTTCGTGTCGAGAAATACCGAACCAATTCTCACCATCAACGCGAGAATCAAAGCACTCGAGTTTACCAGCTCACCTGCAAACAGCAGACTCATTCATCTTTCACTAAGCTTATTGTAAATTTATTTATAATAATTTACTATAATATTTTACACTTTATATATTATCTGATAAGATATTGTTGGTCCCTTTTTTCCTTTCTCCACAATCGATCATTCTCGGGAATGGAGCATGAGAGAGGAAGAAGCCGAGTCAACACCAATGCCCCAATTGTGTTCCTGGCTCGTGAGAGGACTCGTTCAATTTCAGGCAAAATTGAATGTTGAATCAAGTTGAGAAAGGCAGGCGAGCAGGGACTGGGCCCTAGCAGTTTGCTTTTTCTGGCCCAATCGTAGTTTGCGTAGGCGTGCCACTATTGAGAATGAGACCAACCCAATAGACCTGGTGTATGTGATGTAGAATGCTTTGTGTTGATGGACTTGCACTTATTCTAGACCTCTAATCAAACCACTGTGCTCCAAGGGGGGTACTAACTCGGATGAGTTCTTTTCTATGCTTCAATTAAGAGGACTTCCAAATTCTTTCAATCTCGCGTCTATGGCTTGGAAAGTACAAACAATACCTAGCCAAATAGAAAAATCGATGGTGTGTTCTGGCATGTCCAGTAATAAACGGTTATAATATTCTCAAAGTAAAGATTCAAGTATAAAAATGCGGGAAAGTAAGTAAGGTACGAAAAAGATAAATGGCAGGAATGTAAAGTGAGATTAAGTAAATTTCAAAGAGAATGAAGTTCCAGAAGCTGGAGATTTCTCTATCCAGCTCCAGCATGATAACAAATTAAAATGAAAGCCAAAGATATCTCCATTTAGCATTTTTTAAAGAACAAATTACAATATTCAAGAGATTGGAGATTTCTCTTATCCAATCTGTACAAGTTTCATTTGTTTAGAGGGAAACTAGACTAATTTTTTAAACAAGAATCATACCATGAAGATGGCAGAGCAATACAAGGATAAACGCAGGAGTTGTCAACTAATTATCTGGGCAGCAAGTTGGCTTTTGAAAATCTTGAAGCTTGTTCAAGTGTTTATAAGACGTAGTGTCTAATTTTATAGAGAAAGTCCTCGAGTGCTGTTGTTGAGCGTCTATATTTATAGGCAAAAATGTCCAATTGATGACAGTAAAAGCTAGAGGACAATACTCGAGTGTTGTCCAAAGTCAGTGGTAGATTTGTCCTCGTGAGTCGATCCATAGGCATAAGAAGGGGTCTTCCAGATGAAAAAACTAGTTTCAATCGATATTCTTCGATTTGTTGTCTTTTGGCAGTTGGAAAACCAAACGGAAGACGACTCCTTTCAATTTTTGCGTCAATTAGCCAGTCTGCTTCCTTGCTGAGAAAGACAGCGGTCAATTCATTCTTAATGGTGAAAACTCATCTTCAGGAAGTCACGTGGGTCAACTGATAACGGTTACCCATTTTCTAACTTTTAGTGTGGGTTGAGGCTGAAGTTTTTTGAATTATGGGCCTTCGAATAGATTTCACCAATTAATGGCCCAAATCCAAAAAAGCCCTTTTTGGTGGTTTTGAAAGAATGGCTTGGGTCTAATGTAATTTTATTTTAAAAATAAACCAACCTTGGCTCATTTTCCAAATATGGTACAAACAGATATGTAAGTGATTTAGTACCACATAAAGTTCCTAAAAGATTCAAATTTGAGTTATTTACACTAACACCCCTTGAGGTTTTCGCTTTTTCACAAAACTCCTTGAGGTTTTAAAAATTACAAGACTGCCCCCTGAGGTTTTAAACTGTTTTCATAAAACTTAGTTTCATTGATTTTTCATCCAAATATTGATGATTTTATACAAAAAATTCTCCAAAATGACGAAGTTGGCCTTTGAGATTAGATTGTATATACTTCATTGCGGTTAATTTTGTCATTTGCATAAGTTTTTTTTCCAATGAAATCATCAATTTTTGGACGAACAATAACGAAAAGGGGTTTTGTGAAAACAAACTGAAACCTCAAGGGGTGTTCGTTTAATTTTTGAGACATGAGGGGATTTTGTGAAAACACAATAAACCTCATAAGGTGTTAGTGTAAATAACTCTTCAAATTTTTCACTTTCTTCATCATCTTAATATTATCGATATTATAGCGATATTTTGGCCAAATATTGCTGAAGTGTGAGAGAAATTATTGACGTCGATATTTTTCGACATTATCAATACTTACACAATATGTGTATGAATATATTCCAAAATATCCTAGATCTAAAAAAATGATAATATCCTCGATATTTCATTGATATTATTGATATTTGATATTGTTCCCTCTTTGTTGTCCCTATATTGCCTCTTTAATGAAAGGGGGCTATTCTCGTTGATATTATTTGGTATTGTTCTCTCTTTGATGTCTTCTTAATTTTTTATTTATTTAAAGTTTTTAGCGACTTTAAAAATTGCACTCCAAACATATATAAAAATCAAATACACGTGGCGCTTTATGATTGATATCTGTGCCGGTTCTATAGTTTTGGAATAAAACCGACCGCAGGAAATTTGGAGTATCGTCTTTCTTCCTTCTCTGGTCTGAAGACTCGACGCTCAGCTCTCTCTCTCCCAGACAGCCACCTCGTCTCGTCTGTATCATCACATCAATTCAATCCCAGGTCAGCCTCCTCTCTCATCTCTCTCATATGAGACAACCAGATTATAGACAGACAATTTCTGAATTTTTGTGATCATAAGCTGTTGATAAGCTGTTCAAGCATGGTTTTTGTATTTTTCTTATCATAACCAGATTATATGAGTAGAGTGTTACTTGCTAGTTTATGCTTTGATTTTATTTTTTTTATTTTTTTTTTATTTTTTTTTTTTATTTTTTGTTTCTATATTTATTTTTAGGTTTCAATCTCTCATTTTTGGGAAGTGAAAATTGCTTCTTGTTTGCCCTTATTGACAAGTATCCTAGGTTTTATTGGGATTAAAGAAAGAAAAAAAAAAGGGGGTTTTCTTGTTACAGATGCAACTAGTCGGAGAAACTACAGCAACCAATTCTTTTCATAGTAATAGTATGCTTGTTAACCAGAGACAAGTTCTCAATCCTTCTTGTTGCTCTCTGAGATTTGCTTCATCTGGAGGTTATTCTGTTCTTCACTCAAGTGGTCTTCAGCACTGGTTTAAAAATTGGCAAGGACACAGAAAACATAAACTGACAGCTAGCACTTTTGCTGCCGCCGTTGGTTTTTTTCATCGCCGAAGACTCCAGCTTTGGTTAGAGAAGATTGGAGCAATTGAGCCATTTTCGGGTAACCTGGCTACCTGTTGGAGCAATATCAAAGAAGAGGAAGCACTTGAAAGATACAAGCTGATAACAGGAAATTCTGTCTTGTTTCCTGAATTTCAAGTCTATGGTAATACAAATGCTGGAGATGATTGGCTAGGAGCTTCACCAGACGGGGTGGTTGATAGGCTGGTATACGGATTGTCTTCACGAGGAGTACTGGAGATTAAGTGCCCATTTTTCGATGGAAATATGAAAAAGGCTACCCCTTGGTCGCGAATTCCTTTGTACTGTGTTCCACAGGCTCAGGGTTTAATGGAAATACTTGACAGGGATTGGATGGATTTCTATGTTTGGACTCCTAAAGGGAGTAGCCTATTCAGGTTATACCGGGATGCAGAGTACTGGGATGTTTTGAAAATGGTTCTCTCAGATTTTTGGTGGAATCATGTCCAGCCAGCGAGGGAGATGTGCAGTAAGTCTCAGATTACGGATCCCCTTGTTGAATTAAGATCGCTCAAACCAGCACCCAGGCATGAAATGTGTAGTTATGTAGTTTATGAAAGCAAACGCATTGTTGATAGCTCCAAGTTATTGATGCGTGAAATCAATGGCAAACTGATAAACTGATGCAGCATCTATAACCACGATTTAGGCCTTTCAAATTATTCGGTTCTGAGGATATGGGACTCATCCCCATCAAGTTGCTGGAATATGGTTTGGCTTTCATGAGTTTATTGATTGATGTAAATTCCTACCGTCAGTATCATCATAACTTTGGCCTAAATAGTGAAAGAGGAATGCACGTTGCTAGTACATGAGGTAGATTTTGATAGAGAGGTGAAAATATTCCCAGCTATAGTCATTGTATAACAACAAAAAAGAAAGGAAATGTTTGATTTCTACAGGATTGAACAAGTAAAGAAGGAAGATTTTTAGTTGAGGCGCTGATCGCGCTGGGGAAAAACTCAAACAGGTCCTTAATTACTCTTTCTTCTAATTTTTTTTGTTCAATATTCATGCGAGGCACCTATCGTATTTGATGTTGAGCTCGAAACACAATACAATACCTATTAAGTTTACTTCGTTGTCCCTGTTATCATTTTGCAGAAATACCTTGCATTTGCCTTTCAAAATATCACATTACTACTGGAAAAAGAAAAGGAAGACAACTTAAACTTACCAAGAAGTTTTGCTCATTTCTTGAATGAGCAGGGGCAGTTCTTTTGACTGCAGCCCATTCTGATAGTACATGATCAAGGCGTCCTCACCGAGCTCATTTGTTCTATTAAGTTGGAGCGGCGCCAACTAGTTTCACTTTTCTTGTGTCATATATTGTCTTAGGAATTTATCGTCCTTGGTGATTATGGATTGATTTCATATCATCTTCCGTAAAGTGTAGAGCATGGACTCACAAATGTATTATTTATTTCCATTTTTTATATCAAAGTCTCCATCATGATTTCCATCATCCATGCTCATGATCGTGAATGTAACATGATGTTTGTTTATGATGATTTTTCATTGCACTCATTCACTTTTCAATCCAAGTGGAAATTGTTCATGAGAGCTTACATGTCTGACATTTATCCACCCTAAATGGCGGAGAAGTTTCCATATCGGAGAGGCAACTGTCCCTTGAACTACCAAAGAAAAAAGAAGGGTGAACCAATGTGATCATGACATTGTAGGTGCTTGGGATGGATGGGATGCATAGTCGAGGAGCGAAACACTAGCTAACCTCTGATTATAATTAAGGAGAATCTTTACATCATCAATTCTTCGAATGAATTTGAGTTAATTTTTGAACAATCTCCAACTATTTCCATTCATGTGCTTGTGTGTATCCACAATTT